AGAAACCAGCTCACGAGCACATAAAACCAGCACCAACAGTTAGATAACGCTAGTTCTGTCCCGCTCGGTGCTCAAAACGACTATAACTCACGAAAATATATATCAGGTTTATAAAAATCACTCTTCAGGTAGTTATATCACCCAGTCCTCCTCTAAACCTCTAAACCAAAAGAAAATAATTTTCTAAAAAACGCGAAAGCTCAGTTAAACTCCGTTTTTTTCCGTTTTTCTCGCTGCGGTCTCTCATTTTTCCCGCGGTTTTCCTCTCTCTCCTCCCCCCTCCTCCTACTCTCTCTAGTCCCGCCCCCTAACTTATCAAAACTGGGGAAATCTGTGATTGACATTCTAAATACTCAATCAGGTGTTTAAACTAACCTCATTCTAAAACGGTAGGTTGTCTCTTGTACACGATTGTGCGAGTCTTTCTAACTCACGGTTCTTAAAGCGACAGTGCCTAAATAAAATGATTAATTCGAGCGAACGTTTTGCAGTTCGTACGCACGTTTTCTCTTATTTGTGGTCACGATTTCTTAAATCATTCCCTCATTTTCTTTTAATCGTGCGCACATTTTCTGTACTTAGTGGGTACATTTTTTAATTCATGATCACGATTTTCTAATTCGTTCTCTCGTTTTCTTTTAACCGTGGTCATGTTTTATTTTTAACTGAACGCACGTTGTTTGTGTTTTGATAACAGCTCCCTAAAACTGTCTGACGAGTTTTGATGAGTTAGATTGATGAGATAATGAGATGCTCATCAGGTTTGATTTTGATTTGGGGGGTTATGAGGAAACTGTAGATCCTCTTCACAGCAAACAGCCCACGGTGTTTCTGCTCCCGGTCAAGCTGTGGTGTTAGAGACCATCACACAACTACAAGAAGAGATCAGCGTTTCAACATCCTCACATTAATATATCTACATCTAATTCATAGATCTGTTAAACTCTCTCGCCATTTGACGTTTCTGTGCGTGTTTAATTTGAGTTTGTTCAAACGTTGACACTGACCATTTCTTCCTGTAACTGTGCGATGGTCTCTAACACCGCAGCTTGTCGGCCAAGCTGTGCCTCTATCTCTGTTAAATATGATCATTAGAAAGTGCAGTTTAGTGAATATTGTGGTTGTAGTTTGTTGTCTTCCTTCATTTCACCACCAAACTGCAGCTGCACTGATGAATCTGAGGGCCGTTTGCTGTGAAGAGGAGCTGCAGTTTCCTCATAACCCCCTAAATCAAAATCAGACCTGATGAGCATCTCATTATCTCATCAATCTAACTCATCAAACCCGTCAGACAGTGTCAGGGAGCTGTTAGTTACTTCGGCACAGGACAAATAACACCACCTGTATCTACTACATTGATTTTACGCACAAATCAAAAAAATTAAACAATGTGCGTTCCTTTAAAAACGAAGCATGACAACGATTAAAACAAAACGAGAGAACGAATTAGAAAATCGTGATCACAAATTAAAAAAAAACATACCCACGAAGTAAAGAAAACGTGCACGTTTAAAAGAAAACAAGGGAACGAATTAAGAAATCGTGACTACGAATAAAAGAAAACATGCATACGAACAGAAAAATGTTCGTTCGAATAAATTTTTTTTTGTACCCCGGGCTACATTTAGTTCTTAAGATCCGACAAGCTTAAGATAAGATTTTATTTTACAAATTCACTTGACAGAAGCAAATCTAGGAAATATATTTAGGAAATATATCTTATCTTACAACATCTGATCTTATCTCAAGTTAGTATGTCTTAAGCTGTGGTTCCACCATTTCAGAATGGTATCCAAAAACGTCCAGTTCGTTTACGCAATCCCACAATGCACCTCAATAAATAGTAGTTATACAACCTGTACCCTAGCAGAGAGGGGATACCCATAATAAACTGCGTTGTTTGGTTTGGAGATTCACACAGCTTCTCTGAGACTGATTAGCGAGGCCTGCAACAATGGCAGCGTCTCACAGTCCTCTCCTAAGACCTGTTACGGATGTAGGTCAGCTCTTCTGGTGTGTGCAGTCAAACTGAGAGATTAAAGTGGACTGGTAGCAGGACATTTATAGTGTTTATGTGAAAGAATCTGCTGTTGTACAGTAATGAGCAAACCCATTTGACATAGTGTCAGAAATCGTTTACTACTATCATGAATTCTGTTCTCTATAATAGTGCTGTATTTAGTGATCCAGACTTTCAAATGTAGGGTTTAGTGATCAGGGAACCATTTCAGACACTAAACTACTTGATCAAGGGCGACGATCAACTGTTATGACTGTTTCCAAGCAACCGACAATACACGCACAGCTGAAAAATAAACACGTCATCAAAGTAATGTTAACAATGTAAGTTAGTTAGCTAGACAGCTACCATTTCCAATGTAAAAGGTCTAAACGAAACTAAAGTGTGATAAACTGGAACAATACTGTGATAGCACCCCCTGCTGTTCAACAGAGCATCACCACTCTGCAGTTTGGGTCCATCAACATCCTCATGTTCAACGGTCTCCTCATTATTCACCACCATCACCTTAATATTTAATCTGATAAGTTTTAATGAACATGAACACACCAAGGAAATGAGGACACACGTCTGCATGTCTGGGATTTTTGAACCACCACCATTTTGCAATAATAATGAATACAATGTCATTGTGCTACACACTTAAAAAAGATGGTTTTCAAGGGTTCTTTAGTAAAGAAAATGGTTCTATATAGAACCATGAACACTCAAAAAAATCCTCTGCATAATAAAAGGGGTTTTTTTGCATCATGAAAGGGTTCTTCAGATTGTGAAGAATGTGTTGTATATGGTTATATAGAACCTTTTTGAAAAGGGTTCTATATAGCACCAAAAGGGTTCTGCTATTGTTACAAGCTTGACAGCATAACAATAGAAGAATCCTTTTTGGTGCTATTCAGAACCCTTTTCAAAAACGTTCTATATATAACCATCCACAGCACATTCTTCATCAACATGAAGAACGCTTTAATGATGCAAAGGGGTCTTTGAGTGTTCATGGTTCTACATAGGCTTGAAAAACCATCTTAGTGAAATTGTTATGTTGCTTGTTATGGTTACCTAAAAAAATCGAAATTTTAAACTCTTAAATGGCCAGGACCTGCCAGCAAGGCCAAAGCTTTATTACACGCTTCTATAACCTAAGAATAGTTCAGCCAGTTTGCACTGAAGTCCCTGAATAATACATAATGTATGTATGTCATAAGACTGGGATTTAAGGGGTTAAAACAGAAGGTAGGACACCACTGAGGTTGTCCTAAAGTCAGGACAGTGTTTAGGAAATGTTGTCTAGTTATGAAGCTTCTAGACTCTTTCCTTATCTGGAGTTAGAATAAGATTCTAAACTTAGGAACTGTTATAGCTACCGTCATAAACTCAGTTCTAACTGAAGTGAACTGAACAGATAAGATTTCAGAGTTAGGGTGTATCTGTGACGTGGCCCCTGGATGTAATATGAAATCTGCCATGGCATGATAAAGTCAGTGTTATGTAGCCGGGCTCAAGTGCTACCCTAAAAACACTACTATCTGCATGAAAATAACAGCACAATACAAATACAAGATGAAATATTTCTTGGCATATACTAGCCTAAACTTTTTTTCTTAATCTGGAGTTTTATATATATATCTTGATCCTCCACCAACTGAGCCGTATGTGATCCTATAGGGTTTACAGTAAGCCTGCGTTAATACTTCAATGGATCAGTGACATATGGCTCCTGTTAGGACAAAACTTTTTATCTCCAAAATGGTAACTTTACAGGAGAAGGAAAGACCTACTTTACTTTTAATGTTAGTCAATGTAACGCAACCTTTTTCCAAGTCATTTTGGGCCGTTTCTTTTGGTCCATTCATCATGAAATTCACCCACAATGTAAAGAGCAACAGGCATTTTCAAACTATGTCAAAAACTGAAATGCGACAAAAATGGAGATACAAGGTTTTCTTCCGACAGCAGTGATATGCTGGTGCTCGACCATTAAGGGCTGTAAATGTTATAAACAAGCCCTTGTTGTCAATGCGGAACTTGACAGGAAGCCAGCAGACACACAGTAACTTTTGAAATGAGATCTGGTAGCAGGAACATTGCCATTAGTGTACTGGGGAGTGTTTTATTCCCTTAATAATTTTCTGCTTTTCTCTTTTTTTTCAGCTCCGTTTTTGGTTTCCCATATTCTTCCGTCATGAACAAGAGAACCTTGAGAAAATTATGTGAGGTTTGTTTTCAGTTGATCTTACTCTGTTCTTATGAAAGTGCACACAAAATGCTTCATGGAGGTATATTTTACCTTTGCACATGTGCTGAATGCAGATCAGTTACAAACCTTACATCGTAAATATGCTGTAGATACTTTAGTGTTTTGTTCTATGTGTGCTGTCATGTGTATTAGCAGTTTTGTTAAAAAGAGTGTGTCTAATGTTTTTGTTTGATATATGAACTACTCCACAGCACAAATTACTGATCATTTCATCAGGTTGTTGGTTCTAAAAACACACAGTACAGTGCATATGTTTGAAAAGCAAACTGTTTGAAAGCATTTATCACAGCAGTGCTTTTTTTATTGTAAACTTATGACATTAGAATAAATGCAAACAAACTTTAATGCTGCAAAAATAAGAATTGCTTTAAAAACACTGTTGGTACTCTGTGAGCTAGTCTGATGAACACAGGGTTCTAGATTTCTCCTTGAAGACCCAGCTAATGCACAGATTTGTTCGATTCCATTAGCAGCACACCTGATTTAAGTAGTGAAGTATTGCTTAGACGAACCAGGTGTTGGAAGATACAAATAATATCCTCAAGAAGAGGTTTGGAAATGGTTAAACACACTGGCACATGAAATCACAAATTATTGTATTAATGTTATATCTGTAATATGCCTAAGACTTTTGAGCTGTATATGACATGCTCACATGGAAAAGTATGTTTGTTATTATTATTTTACCCTTTTCCTTGAGTGAATGCTATGGACTAACTTTACTGAAATGTTTTTAGATTTTATTTACAGAACTTATTCATACAGACAACATTGAATTATTGCTCAGTTTAATATGATTCCTGTACATTAAGTGACTAATAAAGAAAAAAGTCAAATAAACATTTTATGCAGTTTATATTTGGAATACATGCGCACTATATGGTCCACAGTAGTCTCATGAGGCCAGACATGATCTTGTAACAAGAACATCTGGGACAACCACAGCAAATGGTTAAAACCCTTGAGAAGCAGACGAGGATGATCCCTCATCACTGTAGCTTGGACAGTAGTTTAATGTAGAAATACACTGTTGTGTCTCTGTGCAGGTTGTAGTATTGAAGTTGCTTGCTAACATTGCTAATGTTCACATGGGCTGATCAAGAAGAATTAAACCTGGTGGACTTTTTCTCTCCTTCTTCCTCCTTCAAATGAAGTGCAGTAAGAGTTTCTTTAGTCCATTTAGTGTGATGTATGATGTGGTTCCTGCCCACAAGCCCACCTATAAAGTAGTCACAGGTGGATTCCTCAACGGTTCAGACACTGGAAAACACTCTGACATCTGAATGCAGTGAGAAAGTAATAGCAGCGAGACATATTCAGGATGGACAGCGTATTCTGGAAGGTGTAAATACATCTGAAAAAATATCCCATCCATCACCTGACGTACAAAAACTACTTGACCTGGTTTTTACTTACTTTTAAGTACATACTGAGTAAAAATGTAAACAATATACTTATACAAGAGTCTTTTTTTACCAGAGTACTTGTACTTTTACCTAAGTGGGGGACTTGTGTACGTCTGGGGGCAAAGGTGTGCTTGTCTGACAGACACCGAGCCGGTCATTAGCCCATGGATGTAACGGAAGTTGGTATGACTGAAACATCCCCCAAAAAACAGCAGCTGCACTGCAGACATTAAAAACGCATGGACTAGTGGACTGGGTGGGTTTTAAAGGGGACGTACACTTGTTAGCAGTGAATTTCGCCACAATCCAGCACCAAAAGTTTAACAAGTTGTCCCCAGTTGACTTGTATTCTTGTTATAAAATCACTTCTGGCCCCACAAGACAAGATTCACAGTAGCATGTTTATTACTAAAATATTCTCCCGGATAGCATGATCCATTATGAATCTGCTTTGTCTTAATGTTGCTGAAATAGTTGTGGTTGGCGTGCAGCCAGCAGGTTTAACCCTGACAGATGTCCTTTAACTTCTGCTCACTCAGAAGAGGAACTGAATTCTCAGCCACTGAGGCTGGTTGATGAAATGTGCTCGGTCCCTCTGGAATAAGGAACAATTCTCCACCCTGAGAAAAATGACTCCCTGAGGAAATCCATTCTCTTCCCTCTACTTTATGATCCGTTTGATGCCAAAGATATGACCTCTCCACTGTAGGGCTTCCTGGCCACTGCACTGGGCTTCCTCACCTGAAATGTAGAAACAGTACATCAGAGAACAGCCTTCAGCCCAGATCACAACCGGGTTACAAAATGAGCCATCAATCACTTGATACTCGCGCACGCTCTGTAGTGGAGCTCAATATGTCTTATTTTGTCCACCAGTGACATAAACACTGATCATCTCCACCACTAGAAACCTAAGATGTTTCAAGTTTGCTGTACTATTTAATTGTAACTACATAATTAGTTGCACAGGTCTGTAGTGAATTACATTTGCATTTGATTTACTTCCTGTATCGACTTTGTATGTTTCTTTCAATGGCAATGATTTAAAAATGTGAAGCGTGATTTTTCACACTGCAAAACATTAATATAACAAAAATAACTTTCATAATCACAGCTGGTCCGTCCTCTTCGGATTACGGGTACAGCACACAACACGTGAGCAGCTGTTAATATAATTTGGTGGGGGCCACCCGAGTATAGCCTATGTGTGGGAAACACTGCATAGATTAGGTAACAGTCACTAGCAGACTGAATCTGTGGACAACAGATCTGTGGAGTTCAAGGTGGCAAGATTCATTTTTTTAATATGTTAACTATAACGCTTATAAATGATCATAGCACATGACTTACAGTGGGCTCCAAAAGTCTAACACCACTCATAAAAATGCTTCTATTTTGCATTTTTTCATACATACATTCCAATAAATAGATGAACCAAGCATATAGTTGCATACAAAAGTTTGAACACCTCCAGTCAAATATATTTTGTGACAACAAGTTAACACATCCTGTACAGGGAACTTAAATATGCATTTTCATGAAATTTTAGTGCATAATTATTTTAGTTTAACATATTGGAAAGAACTTCACAAATCACAAAAATACGTCACGTGCCACAACGTTTGCACAGGCCACATATTATGTTTTTTTTCCCCCAGCAAATAAACAGTAACTGTTTTTTTCACTAAAACCAGGGGTGCCCAAACTTTTGCATACTACTGTATCCCTTAAACTGCAAGGGCTTTAAATTCTCTTATAACTACATGACTTATTATCGACTAATTTATAGTAGTTACTGAAAAATAAGTCTTAGAATGAATAAAACTAAGAAAATAAATGAGACTAAACCTGCAGTTTAAGCAGTTCACCAATAAGTGCACCGATGCACTGATGGGCAACAGGAAGTCCTCTTACCTCCTCTCTCTGTTTAATTCTTTTGTACACAAACTCAGCGTAGGGTTTGCGGGGAATAAACCGTCCTGTTCCAGGTTCAACGAGCACTCGACCGCCCTCGTAAACCACTCTGCCTCCGGATATGGTCACCAGCGGAACGCCGTGGCACACCATGCCCTCAAATATGTTGTAGTCCACAGCCTGGTGGTGGGTTTTCGCCGAAATCAACCTGCAAAACACACGGCAGCCTCTTTACTGATGCAGCAATTAAAAGAATACTCCAACCTGATTTCTACCTACCACACTGATCACCACAATAAACCATTTACCCGTCTCCCTGCACTGAGAACAGAACCAAAGACCTGCTGAATCAAAGCTTACAGAGACTATTGGGCAGCTACTGAGTTCTGTGTACAAGTGTTTGATATACAGTCGAACTCCTGGTCAAATGATGTTTTGCTGGTTTTCTAAGTGAAAACAAGTGAACACATCCTCTAGAGAGAACACACAAGCTCCAAAACATTAATATTAAATACCATAGCCATTAAAACCGACCAGCCTCCCCCCAAACAAAAACTAGTAGTGAATGGTAAATAATACTAAATCATAAACACTAAAACTAAAAATGCAACTTTACTTCAACTAACTGAAACTAAACTGAAATCAAAAACAAAAATCAAAAACTAGATAAAAAATAAAAAAGCTAATGACCATTTCAGAATTATTATAACCTTGAATGGCACCCATCTGATTCAATATAACACTGAAGAGAAAGAGAGAAAAAATAAAAAACAGATTCTCAATGCCAACGAAAACAGTAATTAAAATGCCAATTTAAATAATGCAGATTCTCACAAAAGTCACTTTCCAAAGTGTCTGATGTCATCCAGTCAGCACCATGGACCCTTGAGAAAGATCCCTATTAATCAATACTAACAGTTGTAGTAACAGTAATAACTACTAATAGCCTCTCTGCTCAATTCCATTTCATTGCTCAGATCTGACGGTTCATGTTCATGTGTGTAAGTGACCCGTATCTGTTGTCAGTGTAAACACTGTGAAATCTGCATGTGCAAATCCAAATCAGTGGCGTCACATGATGCACGTACGTCATCATCACCAACAACAACAACAATTAGCAGCATAAGCATTTATCACAAAGATCATTAGCTCTGATCAGCTCTCCGCTCTTCGTGATTAGGGAGAAGAAGTAAAAAGGCCAGATGCATTAATGCCTTCAAAGAAACAGTATGATGACCAAATATAATATGTTGATGATGACAGTAATACGCACATGTGCAGTGGAGAAAAAAACATAATTGCCGGCGAGATGAAACTGACAGCATAATCAAATATTTCCCCTAGAGCTGCGCAATATGGAAAAAATGTAATATGATATTTCAAGATGTTTTCACCGCACAATGTAACACAATATTTGTTTTTCTAACACTGTTTGAAAAAACAAAGTAGTGCTTTAAAAAGCAAAAATTTAGTGCAGAACTACTGTAAAACTATGTCTCAGGCATCAGGCAGCACATTCAAAACTACTGCATGTAATAACTTTCTGAGAGTTTTTAGAGGCATTAAACTCCTCAGACGTCTGGTTCCTATCATCACCACTGTACACAATTCTGTCTCTGTTAGGTTCTCTACAGTGGAGTATTTCAAATCAAATCACTCTGAATAAATCAGTGATTCATTTGTGCAAAAATGTTGAAAAATTGGTGTTAAGACAAACCTGAATGACAGGCCCAGAGAGTATTATTTAAAGGTAATCTTCATTAAAAATGGAAAGTGGCTCTCAGTGCAGGGGTCAGCATTAGCTTTCATAATGCCAACTGACCCAAATTATCGCTCATATCCTCATTAGCAGCTTTAGCTTTTTGAGGTGACATATTTCCACAGGCTATGATACATTTAGTAAGACCTACTATTAGCTTAGTTAACATTATATCAGGTATACGTCCAGGAGTTCACATGAGCATGTACTGTAGCTCTGCGGTGCAGGAACAGAGTCGCAGCGATTCGTTTGGACAGGCCACGTCTCCGTAATCGTCTCTGACTATTCAATAAAGCAGAGTGATGATGATGCACCATTAGATAATGATACACATAAGCATAACACAGTCTGACATACCTTGTAAGACAGCCTGTGTGTATATATATATATACATATATATATATATGTATATGTATACACACACACACACACACATAAAGGAACACCACCGATCCATTAAAAAAGCCACTAAAATCAAAACACATTGTGGAATATTGTGAAATTCAACCTAAAACTGTGAATGAGAAACAATAAGTAGTAATTCATATTTAATGATATTTATTTTATTGGTTTCAAAGCTTTATTTCCTATTTTATTTTCACTCTGATTCACCCTCTCTGCAGTACTAATACACAGTCTAGCTGCAGCACCACGGTATTGACCCGCACTCTTGATTATAAATGAATTCCTGGAATAAAGAGGGCCACTGTGCTTTATTCTCTCCTCCTCCAGGGCGGCGGAAGTCCGGATGAAGGTGCAGGCGCTTTGCTCTACGAGCCGCTCTTACACAAGCCCTCAGCTCGCATTAGACGGTGCTTGGTTTATGTTAAATTTCAGCACGCCGGGCAGCGTGCGCTCGGCTGCTCACAGCAGCAGTTCGTTATTGGCCTTGCGGGAGTTAGCCCAGATTCAGACAAAGAAGATTCCGTGTGGCCGACTTATGTAAGACACATGGCCTTCTGCTGCTTCCGCTGCCTCTGTATGTGTATGAGTCAGTGTGTGTGTGTATGGATTCTTGTATTACACACTTAATAAGGGAACAAATGTCCCTAGAGTGATAAGAAAACTTTAAAAAGCATAGTGTTGGGAAGGCATTTGCTGGACCCTAGGGGAACTTAAAGCGGAATGCCACTGATTGATTTCTGATAGCAATAAAAACACCAAATACTAAGAAATACGGAAATTCATGCAAACATTCTACTTTTCTCTCCAATTGTTTTGCTGATTTTATCACTTGTAATGAACAAATATTAAAGTGTTCATAGTATTAAATTGGAAAGGATTAAATTATATGACTGAAATAGTATTAAACTAGGAAGGAGTGCAAAGTAGATCATTTCCAGCAGTGGTCTCAGACTTTTGGACCCCACTGTATGTGCGGGTTCACTGGTCTTTTTGAATAGTAAATAACAATATGACAATATGGACCCCTGGTTCCTCTCACCATGGCCTAAAATTTGTTTTTTGATCTATTCCTAACAGAGCGGTACATGTAGGACATTGTGAGGCAAAAAAGCTTTTAAATAAAACCAAAATTTCAGTGTAGATTTCCCACTATTTAAGGTCATTTTTAAATCTAGTGTTGTTCCACAGTGAATCTGCTTGATTTAGATAATGCTTCTTTCCCACACCAACAAAATCTATCACATCAACACAGTCACTGTCAAAAGTCAAATGACACACAAAACAGTGCTGATGTGATATATTTTATTCATCTGGAAATCATATAAAGTAAATGAAGAACTAAGCAAATTCAGTGCAGCATTTTTTTTCACTGTACATAGGTCAGCGCAGTGCCCGCATGTAAATATGTGCACATGCCTGCAGCTGTGAGATGGAACACGCTGCACGCATTACCATTTATGGCTCTACAGACCAGCCAATCCACGGGCTCATACTTTGCGTCATAATGAAGTGACAACACTGTAGTGAATGCACAAGGTCTACTGTTAGTGAGGAGGCAGCATGTTCAACCTACAGAATGCAGCAATGCAATGAAATGCCACTATCAGAGCCAACGTTGCTTCTCTAAACTATAATTACTTACACTGTACCCTGCAGTGCTTTACTTATAAAAAAGACAGAGATTAAGCTTATCAAGTCATTTCAGTGCACATAAATTTAAGATCATGAAAAGCCTTCAAGACTTCAAGAATAGAGAGAGATAAAAAAGTGCAAACAGCTGCAGTTTAGGAAAAAAGTCACACTGTCTCATGTAGTAGTTGCACTCTGTGAACCCAATCAGCACAATACAGCAGAACGGCCTGTGATGCTCGACTAGCTCTTCAAAGAAATGTTCAGCAATTTTTTAATTTACTTTATTCTTGGACTAATGACTTTTTTTTTCATAAGTGATTATTTAAAGACTGTATTATTATTTTAATATTTTATAATATTTATATATACTACATGGTTTATTGTATTTAAATTTTCATTATATATACACACTCACCAAGCACTTTATTAGGAAAAACTATACTAATACTAGGTAGGGCCTCCCTTTGCTCTCAGAACAGCCTCAATTCTTTGTGACACAGGCTATGTTCACATTAGCAGGCTGAAGTGGCACAAATCCAATTTTTTGCCCTAATGTGACTCAGATCTGATGTTTTCAGGGCTGTGTGGACACACAAATTTGATCTTTTCAAATCTGAACTGAGCCACTTTCATATGTGGTCCTACATCAGATACGATCTCAATGTGACGCTTAGATCGAAATTCATGTTTTTTCCTCTGCGATGACTGATTGGCATTAATGGGTCCAAATTGTGCCAGGAAGCATTCTCCACACCATTACACCAGCTCCACCAGCCTGGACTGTTTACATCATGGATTCAAGCACCAAATTCTGACCCTACTATCTATGCGCCTCAGCAGAAATTGATATTCATCAGACTAGGCTATGTTTTTCTAGTCTTACACTGTCCAGTTTTGGTGAGCCTGTGCCCACTGCAGCCTCAGCTTCCTGTTCTTGGCTGACAGAGGTAGAAACCAACATGTTCTTCTGCTGTTGTAGCCCATCCACCTCAGGGTTTCATGTGTTGTGCATTATGAGATGCTTTTCGGCTCACCACAGTTGTACAGATTGGTTTTTACAGTAGCCTTTCTGTCAGCTTGAACCAGTCTGGCCATTCTCCGTTGACCTTTCTTATGAACTCACTGGATGTCTTTCCTCATTGCATTTTTTTGCCCATTCTGATGGTTGATGTGAGCATTAGCATGATTTTATGCACTGCACTACTGCCACACAATTTGCTGATCAGAAAATTGCATGAATGAGTAGGTGTACAGGTGTTCTTAATAAAGTGCTCGGTGAATTTTTACATACATACACACAGGCTATATGTCCAAAGGTACATACAACTATCACACCTACATGAGCTTGTTGGACTTGCCATTCCAAAACCATGCCATTAACATGGGGTTGACTTTTTTTTACATATTGTTACTATGTAATAGAGCTGAACCAAGGGCCCTCAGCTGTGCACATTAAACACGAGCTATATATTACAAAAACAATTCATAACCAACTGTATTAAGAAATGCTGTTAAGTCTTGTAATTTTATAATACAGTATGAGGAGTATAAATAACAGTACAGTACTGTAGGAATCGCTGTACTACTGTAACTTCACACAATTTTTTTACAACGCACCAACACAAATGTGGTGTCAGTATGAAGTTTGGAATCTGCATTTTCCACATAATTTCTTTGCTTGTTACAATGAGTACAAGTGAAAAATTATTCATATGAAATTAGTTATTGTTGGTGATAACTGCAATTTTTAAAGGTTAATCATTTGTGATAAAGGTGGTGCATCTTCAGTAAACTACATGCACTACTGTAGTTACTGTAGCAGCATATTTACCTGGTAGCTTTAGGATCCCAAATGACCAGGTCAGCATCAGAGCCTTTGGCAATCCTCCCTTTCTGGGGATAAAGGTTGAAGATTTTTGCTGCGTTGCTGCTGGTGACCGCTACAAATCGATTCTCGTCCATTTTTCCGCTATGCTGGGAAGAGTAAACGTTCACATTGTGAATGTTTTGCTCTTATTCCCTGGGGCTGCTTCGCCCCCCACACACGCAGTGGACTAAAAAGGCAGTCTTAAACTGTGCCGCAAGCAGGTCCTCTAACACTCCATAAATCACACCACATCATTTTCATTTTCAGCTAGCTAGGCAAAAACCTGAGCTGCACCTATAGGTCACCTGGCAGGCATAAACTTTCTCTTCCACAGCGCTGCTGAGAGCTGAAACAGCAGCAAAACTCAATTCATTTTACTCAAACAGTTAGGGGGCCATATTCGCCCTGATTCATTTGAGATATACAGAACTGCGCCAAGAAAATTTTTTAAACTACTTATCTCAGCCAGTAAAAGCACTATATAGCATTAAGACAAATACAAATGAATACAATATATAAAGTAAAATGTAACAAGATTTTACTTTTTTTAATTAAATTAATATCTTGGTTAGAAGAACATAGTTAGAAAAACACAGCTTCGGACTTCTCACTGCACTTCAGTCATTGCATGGATTTGTTCAATTAAACCAGTTGACCAGTAAGTTTAATAAAGGACTAATTAGATAAACTAGGTACTGGATAGTAACAGTAAGTACTTGGCTCAAGTAGAGGTCTGTAAATGGTTTTAGGGACGTTGTAGCCTTAAACTAGCGTTTAATATATTACTGGCTGTGTTATGCAGTTTTCTGTAGTGCAAAATCATATGCCTCAGACTCACTAGTTTGCCAAAATGATGCAAATACATCATTCAACCGAGGCCCAAAATACAGGGGGTACAACCCCCTGATTGTCTCAAAATCTAAATTCTGGGGGCTCCCTGAAAATGAACCTATTACATGATGCTGTCTGTTAGGGAAAAATAAATGCTCAATTACAAAATAAGGGAAAACAAGTTGTTTAGCTGCTTCACCCACAAATCAAGCTTCTGTCTTTGGTATTTTTAACTAACTAGAGAAGCTGCACTGATCTGCCTCAGGGTGGCGCTGCAGAAAATGGTTCGCCCAATTGGTTTTTCATAGCCTAGAAACTGTAACTGAGCGTGGGATACCTCTGAAAAACTTTACATTATGCCACAGCATATGTATAAATCTGAAAACATACTCAATTTCCAAAGAATTTGGTGCAAAGAGTGAACTGTGATTCTTTTCTCAATCCAAAGAGAAACTAGAAAAAAGCATTTCCCAAAGAGAAATTGTTAAACTAAACATTTTGAAGCTAGCTTCAGCAGTAAGTTAGCAGCTTTGCCAAGGCTGGAGTAGCCAGCCAGTATGGGACACCCGAATACCTATATTTCACACATATTGCATACAACCATTGAGAATCTCTGTGGTGTCAACCAATTGTGGCTGCTAGTGACCGATTAGTGCTTTGGAGTAACTCTTACCTCAGACGTCAATTCCATCTATATGCAGCACGAGAGGCACAATAGAGTCAGTTTTTAACCTTTTACAACCAGAGAAAAACAAACTAAGGTATCTACACAGCTGGGTAGCTACCTTGTTAACTTTAGCCTTTAACTAGTGCTCTTCTATCTAAGGAGTGCCTTTAAACTGCCCCCAAAACAGTTCTGTTAAGTTAGCTCAGATCCATTTGGGAATCAAATGATACAAATTATTTCAGTTGGCTAATTAAGCATTCATTTTAAAAGACCTAATGTACACAGAACAGAGTAAAAATTCAAATAAATAGTAAAGAACCCTAGATTGACAGAGGAGACATTAATATAGAAAAAAGAATAGCAATGGCAGCTGGAAATAAAGAAAATAAAAATACAGCAAATGTTGCAGATTATTTTTATATATTGACGATGATACAATGTATTAAAAAATATGAGCTGCTAATCTAGAAGTAATTGATATGCTGTGTGCAACTTTATTTTTTTTAATTGCTTCATGTAACTCAAGAAAGCTGTCAAGAAAAAATAAGCCCATGACTGACCACGCCTTTCTCCCATATGACGGACATCCTGTCCTCCACTCCATTGACCCCGTTGGGAATTTTAGTGAAGTCGTCTTTGCCCAGAGCTTTCTGACACACAGAGAATGTGCAGTTATCAGTGCCGGTCACGTTCAGATCATCGCTGCAATAGAGAAAAGAGCATAATGATATGTGTATTTCATATTTCATGTGCATTTGTATTATTAGAAGAATGTGTATAAATACTATTTCTAGTATTTCATAAATATTCCATAAAAGGTGCATAGATATTTGGATGTCAACAAAGTTTATTTTAGCTGTCTACCACAGCATACTGGAGCTAAAATTCTAATATAATATAATTGTAATATAACATATAATTAATATAAGCTCAAAGTACAACCATCAATAACCAGAAAAATAATTCACAATAAACCCATTGGATAGATAGCAAAAACATTACGTGTGGCCAAACCAACTATGAGGTACATTCTTAAAAAGAAAGAATGCACTGATGAGGTCAGGAACACCAAAAGGCCCAAAAGACCATGGAAAACAACTGTGATGAATGACACAAAAATCCTTTTTTTACTGGTGGAGAAAAAAAACTTTACAAGATTTTGGAACACCCTTCAGGGGATCCAGCCTATCTGTGGCAAAGTCAACAACCAAGAAAAGTAAAATCCAGAGTATATACAGAGGGTTTAGCACAAGATATAAACCAAAAATCTAGATGACCAAATTAGAACATTTAAAAAGCCAGTACAGTTATGGAACAACATGTCATGAACAGATAAGATCAACCTGTACCATAATGATGAGAAGAGCATGGAGAAGGGAAGGAACTGCTGATAATCCAAAACATGCCACCTCTTCTGTGAAGCATGGTGGAGGTAGTGCTACGTCATGGACATTTATAACTGCCACTGGAACTAGTTTTCTCATATTTACTGATCACGTGACTGATGACAAAAGCGGCAGGATGAACTGTGAAGCGTGCAGGACTACATGATCTGCTCAGATTTAGGCAAATGCTTCAAAACTCTTTGGATGGTGCTTCACAGAGCAGATGGACAATGATCTTAAATGTATTGCAAAAGCAACACAAAACTTTTTTGAGGCAAAGAAATGGAATGTTCTGCAATGGCCAAGTCAACCTGACCTCCATTCAATCGAGCATGTATTTTACTTACTGAAGGCAAAACTGAAGGTAAAATGACCAAAGAACAAGCAGGAACTGATATCTTCAGTGAAGGCCTGGTGGAACATGACCAGGGAAGAAGCATCTTGTGATGCCGAACTGTTAAAAATCACAATTTAATTTATGATTATGTTAGTTTGTCCAATTATTTTTGAGCTCCTAAAAATGTGGGGGGCTATGTATGAAAATGGTTGTAGTGCCTAAACCGTTGACCTGGTTTGGATGTTAGTACCCACAAATTAAAGCTGCCCTTCGAATTCATATTCATTGTTTTATCTGCTGTAATAGAGAACTAAATAAGCAAAACTTTTTCGATATCCAATTATTTCTGGACCTGACTGTATATGGACTGTATATGGAACAAAGAATGTCATGAAGACTGTATCCATATAACGCACTAATTTTATGTTTTTATTACATATTACTATGGAACTTCAAAATGTACTGTGCAAAGTTTTGTCCAGAATCTACAAGTCAGAAATATGGATAGCTGTGATATAATAAAGAGCATTTCTACAAAAGACCCTTCCTGAAAAACCTGCACTTGTATTTTCCACCTAGCACAACTTTTACTTCTAAATACAGGGCTGGTTGCACCAACAGGGCTTATGCCTGGTTGTAAGCCAAGTCAATTGAAATTAACAATTACACGTGACTTTGAAACACAATCAAATTGCATTAAAACACATGAGTAAAATCAGCCAGATTGGTTCCTAGTGCTTCCCTCTCAATACCTCATTAAACACAACTATAGACAAAAACAGCTTGAGCTCAAATAAACAAACAGTACTCACCACTGCCCTCTAAAGGTAACACAGCACCAATTTAGAATGTATTTCCCTCAACCTAATAACTATTGAAAATGTACTCAATTCACATGCAGTTTGTTGTGACGTAATCTGAAAAATAATTGCAGCTGGATTACATAATTGCAGTCATCTTACATAATTATGATTAGCTAAAATAACTGTGATCAGGCGAGTGTGTAATAATAGTGACAAGCCTAGGTCATAGTGTTGTAGCTGCAACTCGAAGAACACTGGAGCAACTCTGAATATGGGGTATGAGAAATGCAAATCACAGTGAGAGCTAGAGAAATATTTCTCTGTAGGATGGAGATTATTACTGTATTCAGTTATTTCACATATATAGTTATTAGTCTTTTTTAAATATTTTTTCAACCTTATAAGTGTGACACTACTGTTTTTTTAGGTGCATTGTGTCTGTTTCAACTTGTCTGCAAAGCTCAGAAAAACATAATCTTTAAATAAAAAATAATTATGTTATAGTAAATAAAACACCTTATACTGTAATTTTGTAACTGTGGCCTTGGACACTGTTTTACCTACTTAGCGAGCAGGTCCATCAGGTAGCCCGGGGTGCTGGGTTCAGGCCTCAGGGGGGGTCCCATCACGAAGCCTGCAGCATGGGCCCAGTCTTTATTCCAGTAGTGAGTGCCATCAGCGCCCAGGCCGGCTGCTATGGGCTCCCCAAACACCACTCGGCCTGGCGGAGCATGTTCCACAGAGTTAGGTGGAAGAGATCAAGCATAAAGTACAGGAAATATAGCAAAATGTTTTATCTAACATTAGGCACCCCTGTACTGCCATCCTTTTCACCAGGAATGCAAACTACAAACCCTCATTTATGTAATCTCAAGCTTAGCAATTGAATTTTAGATTCCAATTTCAATATTTTTTTAGTTTAACTCCTTGTTGACTGTACCAAGTGTCAGCTTAACACAGAAATTCAGAAGTTAGTTCTCAGAACTTAGAAATGAGCTCAGTAAAGCTGAATCTCATTTGTTTATAACTGAAACAGCAGACTTCATTAGGTTAGTTAATATGTATACATAATGACCTCTGTTCTGATTGTCTACCTTGCATTGTGCTTCATTTAAAAAGCAGTCTGAGCTAAAATGTGAAACAAAATGTTCCTCAAGGACAATGGCCTTTGGAAAGCTACAATGATTTATCTGCTTCCTGACCGACAGGAACAGCACAACATTTAATCATTTCCCCACATCTTCCATGGAGTGTTGTTACTGCGGACAGTCTGCTCAGACCGTCCGCAGTAACAACACTCCATATGACTTCAATGTGAATAGGAGGCTAAACAGCTGTGGAATGAATGGGTGGTGATTGGTCGTTACAACTATGATGAATTCAAAACAGGCCGCTTTAACAGCAGAGTTTCCGTACATCCACTGAATCGACCCAGAAGTGAATGGTATGTTCTGAAATGTGTTTACATTGTTTATCAAATTCATTGACTTCAAAAAGGTAAGGAAATATAAAGTGATGAAATGCTTACTGAACCCATATTCTTAATAAAAACCCAGAAATCCATAAATGCTTTCGACTGCTGCTCACTCACCGTTCCTCCGAGCGTTAGCCACCACTTTAGCGGCAGACTTGCTCATGACGTGGACCACATAGAGTGGGCAGTTTACAGAGTGGGCGATGGTGATAGCACGCTGGGTGGCCTCTGCCTCCACCTCCTCAGGACGGCACAGCTCATGGCCCTCCGGCCCTGTGATGCCTAAAGACAGCATCTTCTTGGCACCCTAAACATATACACACAGACAGTCAATAACTGCTGTGTGACAAAATATTGATTTGTCAATGTTTTAATTATGACTAGATCATTCAGAGCAAACACCTGTGGAACTTACTAGACTGTGATTTTTTAGATGCACAGTTCTACACTATGGATTTCATCTCATAGACTCTAGAATAATACTAACTAGAGCCCAAACAATGGACTGGTTTATTGATGATACTGGCCAAAATCGGCGACAGGCAGTTTTATTGATACTGGCAAAAATATCACTTATTATTTGCTCCTTTGTCCTGCAAACACCAGCAGTTGGCATCTGAGTTGCAGATGTTCTTCCTTCCTTTTCCTTTTCTCAGTGAGGTTCTTCTTGACAGCTTCACATCCTTTCAGACCCATAGCGTCTTCTCACAGTGGAAGGATGGACAGAAACACCTGTGGATTTTTTAGATCTGAAGCAGCTTGATTTTCTCCTCTCCCTCAAAGATGAAAGCTTTAAGTGCTGTTTATCTGATGCAGACAGATTTGGTGGTTTTTGCATGGTTGTTGGGAGACTGAATCTCCTTACTTATCTTTGAATTTCTCTTTTCTTTTGCAAGATGCATCTGTAGTCTCCTCAGAAGTATCTCCTAAAAATGAATGACTTGTACTTAATAGCTGTTTTGACAGGAAATTAAACGAATACATGGTGGTCTCTGACTTTTAATACTCTAGCTCGCAGCAATACAGGCTGAACTAATGAAAACAGTCATGGTAAGAGAAAGAAAACATAAATGTATCCAAACCTAACCTTTAGCATGAGACTAACATTATTTTTTCAATGGAGAGAATGAATGAAAAATCAGAAAAAAAGATGTAATTATCAAAAACTTAACCCACAATGAAATGAGGTAGCGCTGTCCGAGCGCTACGATATTTGTATTATTTATGACTGTAAGTTTCTGTTGTTTATTTGGGTTTAAGAATCAAAATCAAAACTACTGAAATATACAATTAAAATCAAAAATTTAAACCTAACATTACATCACTCAATATTATCGGTTATTGGAATTTTATGCCTCGTAAAATCAAAATCAATATCGGCCACAAAGTTTTCATATCGATCGAGACCACATAACATATAAGTAGACTTGACAAGACTGGATTGTATCTGCATAACTGAGGCCTCACGCTCCATCCTGTTCCCTTTCTGTCAAACATTCATGAAATAGGGTACAAATGCAGAAAAATGAATAAAAAGCAGATATTTTAGCGCAGCAGCCTAGAATTACCTAAATGTCACAAATATCAGTTTCAAATATCGGTCAAATCTAAATATCTGCTGGATATCAATATTTTTTAAAGCAACTTTCTGCCTATAATAATAATAATAATAATAATAATAATAATAATAATAATGTGTAATAACTGGGGTTCCATATTAACACACATTACTGCACATTTTACAGTCTTGCACTCCAGCAGACTGTGCTTGCTTAGCAAACCCATTTCTACCCATTTGTAAAATATGTATTTGGCGCCCCCCAGTGGAACTGCCTGATAAATACCCAGCATAATGCCTGGCCACTCATTACCTAGAATGTATCTATTACAGCAATGCAGTGCTGGAAAAACAATAACACAGCTTGAAATGGCTGGTATAAGCCATAAGCAATTCAGGACAAGGACTTAACATGTATCTCTATGACATTCCAATTAAACAAGCACTGTCCATGTACCTTACAATTACATTATAGCTGAATAATAAATCTGTTACATTTACCAAACAAGTAATGTATTTACATCAGCTTAACATCTAACACTGATTTTCTGAATGTTTGCTGATGCAGTCTGAGAGGTCAAGGTCATTGGACATAATGTTGTGCATATCCACATTCAGTGGAATTTAACAAGGTGTAATAAAAGCTTGTTTCTATTAGGGGTGGCTCAATACCACTTTTTCATGTCCGATACCGATACTGATACTGCAGCCTTAAAAATCAGCCGATATCGATACCAATCCGATACCATCTTCATCCCTCTCTTAAACAACTAAGCTGTTAATAATACGTTTGTCTTGATGCGCTTTCCTTAACCCAGCCATCCAAATAACATCATGCCCGAACTGTGAAATAAATATTCCACTGCCCTAAAGGAAGAAGGAGGAACTGAATCGGATACATCAGGGTGAATATTTTCAAGATGTTCAAGATTTTCAATGCAATTTTTTAATAACTATGTAATTAATTATGCAATTACATAACCACATTTAAATAATGTTGCAAGCTTACAGTAATAACTCTCAACTCTCTTGAAGAACTAAAGAAACGGTTGAATTTGTCAAAGATTTCATCAACAAGCTCATCCAAGTGTACGAGTAGCCTTATTTGTTACATAATTGGCTATGTAATTACATAACTACATTTAAATACTATAGGAAGCTCACAATAATAGCTCTCCACTTCCTAAGAGCTAAAGGAGAGGATGTATTTGGTCAAAATTCCACCAAGATGCTTATCCAAGTGTACAGGATTATGTAATTTATTACATAATTAACTATGTAATTAAGTGTGTAACTACATAATTACATTTAAATCTAGACTCTAAATCTCTAGACTTCCTAAGGGCTAAAGAAAACATGGGGTGTGGCTAAAATTTCACCAACTCAAGTGTTTGTGATGATGTAATTTAATGTATAACTGACTATGTAATTATGTAATTACATAATTACAACTAAATCATATAGCAAACTCACAGTAATAACTCTAGAGCTAAAGGAAAGTCTGGAATTGGCTAAACGTTCACTATTTCAACACCATGCCTGCCCAAGTGTATGTGATTATGTAATTTATTACACAACTAACTACGTAATTAATTATGTAATTACATAATTACATTAAAAATAGAGAGAAACGACTATAGTAATAACTATAGACGTCTTAGGTTTTCTCATATTCACCACACTATGAGCTACACGTAGGCCAAATTACAGGCCATTATTTTCACAAGTCTTTGACGACCAAGACAAGAATTTGTGACCATGGTGTTAAAAGAGACGAGAATGAGAGAGCAGTCTGAATGTGTCCCACTGCAAACATGCTCCTCTCTCCCGATATAGGCGTCTGTTCTGAAAGCCTGCTGAGATGAACTGAAGCATATCCTTATTATCTGATCTCACATTAAGCATCTATTTCTGAGCTGTTTAGTGCGTCATTTTCCATGTTCCTAGTCTTTCCTGTTTATTAGACTGAGCTGAGCTGTTTTAATTTGCTTAACTATAAAGGTTTTCAAATCATTCTGGACTTAGTTGCATTCAGGGTCATCAGGGAGTTAATTATTGACCACCTGATGTCATGACCCTCAGCAAACATTCTAGGCAAAACAAAGAGAGCTTGGTTTATCCATTTTAGAACATAACCTTGAGCAGAAATCTCTGTTTTTAATCATTAACAGACACTGCTTTAAGGTCTCACCTCTGCAATTAGATCTCCGTTCTCGGCGTGGACCTGTGCAATGGCTCCAATCTCTTTACAGTGAGAGAAAGCAGCGTACAGCTCATGGTCACGCAGCATGAACACATCTTTATATGCCATGAACATCTTGAAGGAGTTCACGCCTTTCTCCCGCACAAGCGTCTCCATCTCTTTCTTCACCTAAAATGAGTCAGGTGTAGATTTGTATTACAGATTTGTTCCATTTCAAACCCAAAAAAGTTGAGATTATTCATTTACAGAAAAGATTTAAGGTTTAAACTCATTTAATCTTAAATATCAGGATAAAAAAATGAATATTCTAAAAAGAATACAGTGCTGTGCAATAGTCAGAGAGCACCCTTCATTTATTCAATTTCCAGTCAAAATGGTCATTAAGTGTGCACTTAAGGTGGAACGGGAAAATTCGAAACAAGAAACTGGCTGTTGCACCATTTAAGGTGGAACGGGAAAATTCAGCACCATTTAAGGTGGAATGGGAAAATTCAACGCTGGCAAATAAGAAGCTAACTTCAGCTTTGTGTAAGAAGGTGCTAACATTAATCTATTATCAATATCTACATGGATTAAGGAATGTTATAACTTACCCAGCTACAAAGTATAACTATCAATGTAAATAAATAAGTACTACTAATAAAGTTAAGATCCTCTGAATAGACTATTAAATGAAATAAGCTTCATATAAACCAGAGGAAAAACTATCACATCAACAGGTTCTCTGTACCTCACCAACCACACGGCCATATCTACACAAACATCACACAAACAATAAACATCACATAAACATGAGCGTGATTCACTGCATTCCCTCTGTTATATAATCCTATCCCACTTTCTGAGTGCAATATTTTTGAAATAGTGTAATTTTGGACAGAATCTTTCTTCAGCAGCCGCTCTGTAATGGAACTGAATGCAGTCCAGCAGCGATGTTGACCACCCCAAAATGGTGGCACCGTTGACGTGCCTGGCTGGACCCAACGCGGCATCTAAGTATGTATATCTATGGTTTTATTACACAATTCTATAAGCTAACAATAGCTCAACCAGTTATATTGATTGCTTATGTGGTTTCCGGCACAGTTTGACACTGTTATCTGAACAAACTGACAAAATAGAGGGCTCCCAAGTGGCACAACCGTCTAAGCGTTGGCCCTGTCATCAGGAGATCGCAAGTTCAATCCCTGGTGATGCTACAGCCATCCATGGCCGGGAGTCCAAAAGAGCACAATTGGCCTCGCTCTCTCTGAGTGGTGGGGGTGTAGAAGAGGGGGCCATCCACCCAGAGAGAGGCCAGCCAGCACAGATCTGGCGGTTGGAGCTTTCCTCCAAGTGCGTTCAGTGATGTTACATTAGCGGCAGTTCGAAAAGACGTGGTGGCGCTTCACAGGTCTCGGAGGAAGCCTGCGCTAGCCTTCGCTCTCCTCGCACTGGTCTTATCATGTGATTAGGGGAGTCCTGACTAGTGGATGGAAGTTGAAACGAATTGGGGAAAAAAAAATTTAAAATGGACAAAATACATCACATAGCTGGAAACAGTAAAAGCAGTCAGAATTTTGTGCACACTTTTTTGTGAAAAGTATGTGACAGAGTATCAGAAACCACATAAGCAAGTCTATTTGGCATTACCTCACCACGTGATGCATTTTGAGGCAACTGCCGATGATAGGCATTCAGTTTCCACAGCGCTCACTGTTGTACATAAGCTTCCATTACTATTTAGCCTCGTACCTACACTGCAAACCTGGATGCCAAACACATCTTGGCTGACTGACTACATTTTGGGTGAGAGGAAAATTGTGCACATTTGATTTTTCAACAGACTGCTCCTTTAAACACTAACAAGTCAGGGTGGATGAATTTTGCTATTATGTATCAGTAACATACAGTATCATCCCACCACGTGACGGCTACGTGCAAGGAATAGTCACAGCACACTTTGGGGTCAGCTGTGCTCCGCCACCTCTCATACGCCTCCAGCAGAGACGCCCCCTTCTGCGGGATGACAAAGTCCAGGATCATGGTGGTCCCTCCGGCAACAGCAGCCTGCAAGGAGAGAACACAGAAAAAAGTAACACACTGAATGTATTTGATTCAGTTGTGAGCATCGTCTCTAAATGAAAAAGATTACATCAACCTAATTATTCATAAAAGTAAGCAGACGGAAAAGCAACTGTGTTGATAAATCCCATTTTTAAGTTCCCTGTAGAGGATGTATTACCCAATTTTCAGAACACAGTGATTTGACTGGGGGTATTCAAATGTTTGCCCTTGACTGTATCATGTAAATGTTGTATGAAAGGCTGAGCACTAATATGAACCATGAGTCCTGACTGTAATTTTCTGGTCCAACTGTGAACGAAAAAAAAAAAAAAACAATGTCACACAACAGAAAATATTCTCAACATCATACATTTTTTTAAGAGCAGAGTGTCTACTACAGGGGTCGGCAACCCAAATGTTCCAAAGAGCCATTTTGTTAAGTTTCAACAAAAATCTAACCACGTTGGGAACCACAACATTTTATGTCCATTTTATTGAAGTATCGTTTCACCATTTTGCCTGTAAATATGTCTTAGTATGTGGTAATGTACTAGTATAGGCTAAAAATATAATAAAAAAAAACGAAAACACTAGCTTTAAGCTTTAGCTCAGCTATATTTAGCTGCTTTTCTCACATCTCCAGCAGGAAACTTTTTCACAAAAGTAGAATAGTTTCTTGTAAAATGTCTCTTAATGTTTGATTTTTACAAGGCTGAAGTCGCGTCTCGTTCACCAACTTCTTGTTTAAATTTTCCCTTTCCACCTTAAATGGGGCCTGAGGTGCAAGAATGTAGGTGGAATGGGTCATTTTGAATGAGAAGCTGGCGAACGAGACTTCAGCTTCGTGACTTTTTAGCGTTTGACAGTTTCTCGATGCAGATTAAATGTATCAGCTGGAGTGATTATAAATGTAAATAAGTCAATTCGTCTCCAAATTATCCACGTTCCTCTTAAATCTTTCCTTTTCGTTAGCTACTAGCTAGGCGATACTGTTATCTGTGTTGCTATGTAACCAACAGTGTACGTGCCAATCCTCAGGGTTAAAGGGTGAATTAGCAGTTCTACATTAACTCCAGCATTTAAGACCATTTATTGATCAGCAGAGCTTTATTTTACTGCAAATGAGGATTATTTCACTTTTACCTAAAAGTCTAATTCTGCAGTGGAGCTGCTACAGGGCAGTAAAAGAGCCACATATTGCTGACCCCTGGTATAGTAATAGGTGTTATATAACAAAATATAAACATATTCAGATATTCATATGATAATAAGTGAATGAATTACTTAACAAAATTATTAACGGTACTTTTTTAACATCACTAGATCACTTTCCTAGTTTGACTCTTCTAACCATCTACAGTAGTGCAGGCCAGAGCCTCGCTGCAGTGCACTGCATGCTGCTATGACAGAATCCACGATTGTAGCCCTCTCATTCAAATACTGCTTTTAAATAACTTTTGAAGCAAAACCTTCATTAGATCACACAGCTCACATAGAACCTATGGATACATCACTCACTCACTCATAATCTAAGCTGCTTTTACTCCTGGGCCGCAGAGGGTGCTGGATCCTATCCCAGTGCTCACTGGGCGTAAGGCCAGAAACACTCTAGACAGGTCACAAGTCCATCACAGGACAACGGATAAACCAACAAGCACTAAACTAACAACAAAGAGCACAGTGGAAGCTGCAGTTTCCCTGAGCCCCCACTTTAACAAGAATCCACAAGCTGAACAAACACGAATGAGAGGCTACAATCGCAGATGAATTTGACCATTAACTGTATATATGATATATGATGGTTTGAACATGCAGCCACTGTTGCTCTCACTGAACATCAGTGAGGAAAACTGGAAGCTGTGTTCACTCTATGGAAATCAAATGACTTTCATGTTTAGGTTCATGTAAACTCGGCGTTCACACGATGGTAATAATGTTTTGAACTATTAAAATAATAAATAAATTCTGATGAAGCTTATTTTGTCCGCACATGTAGCTGTAACAAAATACACCGGTTTTAAATGGAAAACAATCCTCAGGATCTAATGAGCAAATAAGACAAATGAGATTAATTGCGCTTAACTACACATTATAATGTGATCAATCGCAACCAATTATTTTGAGCAGCCTTTATATAAATACAGTACATCTCTGACATCACAATGATTCGATTACACTTCTTTAGGAAACTTCAGCGTCAAAGAACAGTTACAATTCTGAGAGCAGTGTTTAAAGGATCTGAGGAAACGAACCAAAGAAGTGACTGTTCACTTTTTTACGGAGCTCAAACACATTCTGGGTGATGAGCTCAGCTGTCAGTCAGTGAAGCTTCATGATGGTTCTTGTGATGCTGGTGAAGGTGAAACTGAACCCTCCGGGAGCGACTGGCGTTCGTTGGCAGTTGTAATTGTTTACCACTGGATGAGCCACATGAAGCATTGTTCTTTTGTACATGTGGGTCAGTTTAGGAGCTGATCTGTTCAGACTGATGTGGCATATAGATCCCATTTAAAAGATGATGTGAACAGCCAAACAAATTAAATCGGATTTGGTGAGAAAATCAGAATTGGCCCACTTTTACCTGCTGTGTGGACGTAGCCTTAGACCCCTGGCCACAGACTCCTGTATCATCACCTGGGATCACCAGCAATCTCCTGATGATAGGGCTAACACTTATGATGGTTGCACCACTTGGGAGCCAGTTCATACAAGGTGACTTTGAGCTGGACACAGGCCTCAAAGTGGTCAGCAGTAAGCCTGCTGAGGATGGAATTCATGTGTGAGATGATCTGGTCCCACATAAACGTCAATCCAAAGATTGACAGCATTGCCAATGCAATCTTCGTCAAACCGTCAAATTTGTCTGGAAGTGATGTCCAACACATGAAAAACGGTGCATTTTTCTGGATGTTTCAAGTGATTTATGAAGCCCACAGAACTCTGATGACCTCTGGAAGTCAATCGGCTGCATTTCAAAATCATCAATACCCAACTATTCAAACACGGACAAATCTGTCTCGATCGAAAAAAGTTTGTCTGTATGTATGACAAAAGAAAACATTGGGCCATCTCTCTGAAAATCTTTGAATCTTCTGGGAAATTCTGACTCAAGCTCCTCCATACACATGAAAATGTTAGCTGTGCTGAACGAATGATGAGTGGAAATCTCTCTCAAGTGTCTGAAAAACAGTGAAATGCCCTCTTTTCTATATCCTCCACAAAACTTTAAGTTTGGACGTGAATGCCTTCCACGTCTCAAACAGCCCTACGACCATCTGTCCAGCTCCCTGCATGCAGACACTGAGTTCTTTCAAATGTGATGTGAAGTCTGTCAAAAACATAAGTTTCTCAAGCCACCTGACGTCCTCCAGCTCTGGATACTGCTGGTCCTTCTCAACAAGAAAGGCTTCGATTGCATCAATGCAGTTCACAAAACCCTCAAGCACTTTTCCACTGCTCAGCCACCTGACACTGGAGTGAAGTAGGATGTCTTTGTATGCACACTCCATTTCTTTAAGCAGTGCTTCGAATTGCCAAGGCAGAGTGAGTTCACAGAAAATTCTAGGTTCTAGCCAAGGTTCTAGGTTTTAGCCAAGTCCTCACCTTTTGTGGTTTTACTGATGGGTTTTAAATAGCACAGTTCCTCTCGTTCCAGTTTCTAAGACAGCTTAGTAGAGTTTTGCCCGGTGTCTAACTCTGCAGGCCACTTTTGGCAGAAATGTTGTGGACTAACAAAATAGTTAGGCCAGATTTAGGCCAAACTTGTCAGTTCTACTCACTTTACAGTGTGTGGTCCAGATATGGGCCAAGGACCCAGACGTATACTGGGCCAGAACAAACCCAGCATGTGGGCCAGACAAATTTTGCTAACTGGGTTATTCTAAGCTTGTGCAAACTTGACTAGTCATATGCTGTAAGCCATGAGTTTGAAATACCTTTATTTTTTACTGTCACTCATCAGGATGCCAGGAAAACATGCGTGCCGACCCCTGGGTTAGTGTTTTAAATTCCCATTGGAACTGAGATGAATTAAGTGGAGTTATTTTTGGGAGGAGCACCATGTCTGAAGCTCCTCCTCCTTCCAATCTAATATCCTATAACTTTCTCTACTTTCTGTTTGTCACAAAGTTTTCACACCCCACCACCAACCCACTTTCTTCCTGTTCTTTAGTCCTATCTCTGAGTTGTCCCCCTCTTCCTTATGTCATGCAATCTCTTCTCATATTACAGCCATATGTTGAAGGCAAGGTCCAAGCTATACACATGTACGTCCCAGGCTGTTACATCACAAGAACTTAAATATGTAGGACAAACAAACAAACAACATGAAAAAATAATTGAATGTGTAAATTAAGCAATGCTATTGCTTGTGCTTGCTTCTTTTAACTTAAACCGATGCCCACTGACTCTGACACTGACACTGTTGGTGGAGGAGAAAACTCCAAATGAAGAGGGTGCTCCACGGTGCCCAATATAGCTCCTGCCTTGTGAGGAACCCGCTGGTCACGTTACGCAAAGATGTCTGAGTGATGCCTATCAGTTTACCAGCTATCTTCAGAATACTCAGATGGTTTTTAAGGTTTAAACATCCTCTACATACTGTAAATGTAAAGGCTTTTCCCCTGCGTCCAGGTCAAGAGCAATTCCAGAACTTTTATCTGTATAAGCACTGAACTGCACAGATTATGAATATTTTTGTGCTCAGTCCAATAAACATTTGGCGCTCAGACAATGATGAGTGTTTTCAAAGTTTTGTACTGTTTTGGTATCAAGCATATTTGATACCAGTATCAAAATCAAAATTCTGGTATCGTAATTCTACATTAAATTTACATGATTCAAAAGTGTCAATCAAGTTGCAGATAAATAAAACATGTTACATGAACACAGTTCCTGCCAAAAGAAGCAAACCGAAAGACACCAATTGTATTCACGTCGGCTAATAAATCTTGTTTATATGGCGACACATTTGAATCATATAAGAGTTGTTTCACGAGATCGGTGCAAAAATGGACATGCTAACTCGATTTTTTCATGTGAAGAAATCTTTTTTTTGCTCTCCACAGGTTCAGTTACTTACTGCTCTTACAGATTTTGCCACCTCACTGACCTATGTTAGATTTTTATGCAAAATAATGGGAGGAATATTTCCATCAAAATTAGCTGCCACGCTTCCTGTTATCAAGCTGAAACCTCAAACGTCAGTTTTTTCACAGTTCATTACATGACTTTTATGTGAATATTGCAAAAAAAAAAAAAAAAAAACAATTTCTCTGTCATTTTGTGTGACGGCCTACATGTTATGCTTGATATACCCAGAAACAACAAATTATCAAAGCAAAATGACCAGATTTTGAAATGATCTCCTCTGAAGAATCAAAGGGGACTCTTACTGATTTTACACATTTCTACATAATACAATCATTAAGCTGTAAACAAAGTCATTTACTGAAATGAACTGCAATCGATAACAAGTGAAGCTACACAACAACCAGTCAACCTGCATGTGTTGTTTATATGTAATGTTGATGATGGTGGTAAATCTAAAAGAAATAAAAAAATTCTTTTGGGAACTATTTTGCCTTACAACACTCTGCATGTACCTCAAATGAACTTGCTTTTTGGTTTTGTGATAAGATTTTAACCTAAAACCTTATCAAAAAAACCTTCATAGAACATCAGGTCTGTAACAGCTTATTGTAAGGGAGATTTTAGAGGCATTAACCCCTTACATAGCCAGGACCTGCTGACAGGTCTAAAGTTTTATTACACACTTCTATAACCTAAAATAGCTCAATCAGTTTGCATTGAAGTCCCTGTTGTCACTGAATAACAAGCCTCAGTATGTAATAAGCCTGGGATTGTCAAAGGTTAATGTGTTTAGATGTCTGGTTCCATTCACCATCACTGTAAACAATTCTGACTTGGTAAGTTTGACTGGAACAGAGCATTTTACATCAAATCACTCTGAATGACTTGTTTATATCTTATTTATTTATGCAAAAATGTAGAAAACGTCTGTTTGGTATTATTTGATATTGAACTTCGATGAGGGCCTATATACATATATATATATATATATATATATATATATATATATATACACACACACACACACACACACATTATTGAAGGGGTATTGAATGTTGTGGCTCTCTTTTCATGGAATGACCCATAAATAAAGTTAAAGAAGTTGCTGTGCTGAATTAATACCTACAGTGTTGAATGAACTCCTGAACTGGTCAGAGTCCATTCAACACTGACCGCTGCTGTGTACCTAGTAAAACGCCTCAGTCTTTATTATGGCTGGGTAGGGTCTGTGTTTAGTCGTCAGGGGGCTTGTTTGGTACCTTGGTGCCGGTGTGGAAATCGTCCACAGCCACAGTTCCCATGAAGGCCAGCTCCATGTGCGTGTGCGTGTCTATTCCTCCGGGTAGCACCAGCTTCCCGCGGGCGTCGATCACCCGCGTTTCGGGTGGTACCTGCAGGTCTGGTCCCACAGCCTGGATAAGCCCGTCTCCAAGCAGAACATCCGCCGTCTCCGAGTAGTCCTCATTCACGACCTTACCTCCTTTTATCAGAATCCGGCTCTGGTCCGTCATACTTAGCTGAAAACAACACTGTTTCGACTCACCGACCAAATTTTATGACTAAAGAAGACTAAAACGCGTCGACTACAGGGCTAAAAATAAGTACTGGACTGCAGACTCAGAACTAAAGGACTGAAGGCTGACTGGTCTCTAATCTGCCTCTCAGCTCGACCCCTTTTTAGTCAAATCTGCCCTCAGATACTCTGAAAATGACCCGCCCACAACTCATCAACTCGTGAGCTCCTCTTAACGTTCCATTATATGGTTATGCGCGGAGACCCTAAAGTGACATGGTGATCATATTTAAATAAGGCGTGGCCACGAATTAATATACTGAGGCCACGAGAGAAGTTTCTCCTAACTTGTGCCCTCAGTAATTCGTGGCTTAATACATTAATTTGTGGGCCCTGATTTAGTCATTCCTGGCCTCGAAACAGTCATTTGTTGCCTCAATATAGTAACTTGTGGCGCAGCGTAGTAATTTATGACCTCAATATAGTAATTTGTGGCCACATTGTCATAGTTTGCGGCCTCACTATGGTAATTTGTAGCCTAATATATTAATTTGTGGCCTCAATATAGTAATTTGTAGCCTGATATGATGAAATCTGTGGCCTGACTATAGTGATATGTGGCCTCATAGTTATTCATAGCCTCAATATAGTAATTTGTGGCCTCAAAATATTAATTAACAGCCTCAATATAGTGATTTTTGGCACCATTGTAGTAATTTATGGCCTTAATGTAGTCATTTGTGGCCTCATGGTTGTTTATGGCCTTCGTATAGTAACTTGTGGCTTCAAAATATTAATTTGTGGCCTCAATATATTAATTTGTGGTCTCAATATATTAATTTGTGGCATCATTTTTAAACAAGCCAAGCTCATAAATGTGAGGTAGTCAGGTGTGCACATGCGTTTGGCCATATAGCATATTTGTGTATTTCATGCTGGTATTGTAGTGAGAGAACATTGATGGATGAAAACAAAAACCATACAGCTGATGAGACTAAGGGATGCAGTATTGAGCCACAGGATGCTACATAACACAACAAATAATACATTTAATGCTAGCCTGGAATAACAGTAGGCCTATATCTATCCCACCTAAGCACTATTAGCAGCTGTACTTGCCTACAATATAGTATATGCCTATGCAGTGGTTGCCAATGGCATCACATAGGCTGCACTGGTTATATATGTACTATCAGTACCCACTGTGTCTTACTAAAATATGTGAATAATGTCTATTCTGCCCTGCCCTGTTTATTAATTCATTATATGCTGTGGTGTGACATCCTTTAGGCCCATGACTGGGTTGCATCAGCTAGTGCACAGGAGCGTCCCCCTATCTGCAGTCTGCTTTAGCCCATTCAGCGCAGGGGAAATGTCGTCAATGTCACGTCATCTTTTTGCAACTTTATTTGTTTTCGCTTCTTAAAGAAAACAGAAAGGCGAAACGCTCCAGAGAGACAAAGATGCATGTACTAGTGAGATAAGCAAGTCCTCTGGGCTTACAAATACCTCTCTCTCTCTTTCTCTCCCTCTCTCTCTCACGCACACACTCACACGCACACACACACACACACACACACACACACACACACACACACACACACACACACACAGTAAACACTACTGCATGCCTTAAGAGGATTTGCAGTGCGATGTGAAGAGCAATCAGTGTAGGAAATGCTAACGAGAAAGTCTTGGTAGCGACACAGCACCTCTGCACATCGCTGCAGCTATTTTAGTCTGTTTTCTCTTTTTCAGTATTATTGAATGTCTTAAGAGAATATGGCTTTCTTAGGGTCCCATATCTTGGACTGAACTTGCGTTGAAGGAAAACTCCAGCATATCCTCAACCTCATGTCTATCTGCTATGCCTGTAGTGTACTTTGAATCATCAAGGTCAATAATTTTGATATCTTCCTCTGTATTCAGAAAAGACCATAAAACTCATTGACTCAAAGCAATGATAGTAGAAGCCAATGATCAGTTGCTGAATCAGTAAATGCATTTGTGAAACTGCAGTTTGTAAGAGTGGAGGCGAGGAGGTGGGATGCAAGTGCGAGTTGCATTTATTCAAATCTGATTTAACAGAGTCCAGAAACTGAGTAGTAGAGGGTGGTAGAACAGACAAGTCTATGATGAAACAAAGCTGAACAACAAGATCAAAGAAAACCAGTGACAGAATAACATCCACAATGCAAGACTGAGGCTGCACAAACAGGGGTATAAATACACTGAGGGGAAATGAGAAACACCTGGGACTAATGAGGGGTGGAGCACAGACAGGTGGAGCAGATAACAAGGGGGCAGGAGCAGGGAGGAGACACAGAGCAACAACAAAAGCACAAGGCACAAGAAAACAAAAGGCACATGGCCACCATAGAGGGGAACAAACAGACACACTCAGAGAGACAAAGGGGGAATCCGTGACATCAGTGTGGTGATGTGGGCGGAGTTCACAGGCTCCACCCTGATGGCGCAGAGACACCAAAAAGCAAAAGTGTAACTGTTTTTTTACTGTGTCGTTCCAGTGTTGAAAAGTTGGACACAAGACCAGCTTTAGTAAGACATTCTCTCATATACACTTACATGCAAAAGTGCACATCCTCTACAGAGAACAGTTCTAGACATTTTAATGCACAATTACTGTTTAATCGCTGAATTTAATTTAATATATGTATATATATATATGTATATATATATATATATATATATATATATATATATATATATATATATATGTTTTTTTAAAGCAAATTATGAACTAAAATATGCAGAACACATGTTAGACCTAAGTTTCCTGTAGAGGATGTAAAAAATCAACACAACATGTAATTTGATCTGTACACACTTAAAAAATATGGTTCTTCAAGGCTTCTTTAGTATATAAAATGGTTCTATATAGAACCATGAAGACTCAAAGAACCGACTGCATGATTAAAGGGTTCTTTGCACTGTGAAAGCGTTCTTCAAATTGATGGAGAATGTGCTGTAGATGGTTCTATATACAGCCTTTTTAAAAAAAGTTGTGTAGGATTGGGTTGGCGGGGGGACCCCCAGGTAGCATGTTGCTCAGAACCCCCACAGTTTCTAAAACAGCGCTGCTCTGGGGATCAGTCTCAGAGGCTTTAACGTCCACTTCACACGCAACACTTGCGAAATATTCAGAAACGAACACCTTTTCGGCAAGCGGAGTGAAATCAGTGTGAAATTGACTCCTGAGGTGAAAAAATGAACTTTTCCAGACTCTGCCTGAGCTCACCTGCACGCTGCACCGAACTTACAGCATGAGATCGCCCTCAACTGCCGTTTTCTCTGTGAAAAAAGGGACTTTTAGAATAAAGGGTATGATGATGACCCTTATTGTAGGAACCTTGAGGAACCTTATTGTAAACATGTTTTGTATTTATGTGGCTTGCTTGGTTACCCCCTTTAAATAGCCAGGGCCCACTGGTCGGGCCCAAAGTTTTATCACACACTACTATAACCTAAGAACAGCTCAACCAGTTTGCACTGAAGTCCCTGTAGTTACTGTATAATAAGCCTTAGTGTGTAATAAGACTGGGATTTTAAAGTCTGAATTAGCTAACATTGTATTTAGCTTTACTGAAGTGTTCAAAGTGAGTATTACTGCATTCAAATCAGACAAAGCTGTATGGTCAAATGGAGTGATATAAGCCTGTGTAGCACCAGATGGCAGCATTCACCTCCAGTAAGAGCAGAGTGTGTGGTGTGTAGCTCTGCAGCAGTGAGTAATGATTTGTTCTGTAACATTGAACAGCTTTCCTAAATCAGGCGTTTTATACCACGAGTGAAAAGCAAAGACAAACAGTGCAATACTTTGATTTCATCAGCAAATACTGAATCACAACTTGCACATCATTTTCTGATTGCAGGTCTAAACATTTCTGTATTTTTATATTACTGGATTAAATGTTCAATACAGTCTCATGAGAAGACAAACAATGTCAATATGGCAATAACATAGAGGCAGACAGAAAAGGGAAATATTGTTGAGGCAGCAAATGCTAATGTTATTTTCATCCACACATTATAAAATAACATATGTCCTTACATTTTTGCCGCACACTGGTGATCAGTGCACTTTATTGGACTTTTTTGCTTAGAAGACCAGCATCACCACATTTTATGAGCTGAAGCGTGACGTCTTAATACCCCCTAGTATTTATTTTTTGTGTTGTCAGGCATTTGCTTGCTGCTGATTGGTTGAAATCACCTACAGGCAGTTCACATGTTTACTGTCATTGAGTTCAATCCACACAACCCTAGCATATAGTCATACATAAATATAAGCTATGAAATGTGATGGTATATGATGACATACTATTTCAGAATAGCAAACAATGTGTAAAATAATATAATAATATATAGTGCTATATAATGTTTGTAACAGCAAATAACTAATATATAATTATAGATAATAGTACATAAGCAGAATATAATGGTATTTGGTGGTAAATAATGGCATAATGTCATATACCAGCATATGATGGTATATAATAGTCAATCACTTTTGTGTAATGGTATAAAACTGGTGTATAGTAGTATATAACTGGTGTATAATGGTGTTATGGTATTTGGTGGTAAAAATGGCATAAAATGGGATGGTACATAATCGTACAAGATTGGGTATGATAGTATATAATGTATGTAATGATATGTAACGTATAAAATGGAATATAATAGTATTTAACTGGTATATATTGGTATATATAACGGTATTTGATAGAAAATAATGTATAACATATGATGGTATATGATTGTATGAGATGACTTGTAATAGTATAAAGTGTATGTTATAATATATAATGTATGTAATAATATGTAACAGTTATAAAATGGTGCATAATAGTATATACCTAGTATAATAATATGTATTTGATAGAGAGTAACAGCATAAAATGTAATAGTATATGATAGTATCAGATGGTATATAATGTAATAGTATAAAACTGCTAATAAACTGATATAATAGTTATGTATTTGATAAATATTTGGTAAACAATAGTATAAAACATATATATATATATATATATATATATATATATATATATATATATATATATACATATGTAAAATATAATATGGTATATGATGGCATTTTGTCACTGTCGGGACAAAACCTTGTATCTCCGAAATGGCAACTAGGTCGTTCTACAGAAACGTCCACTTTTCTATCTGTCCATAGGAGTCACTGGTGTTACCAATCCTCATT